CGGGCGGCGCAGAGCGCCCCGGGCCGCCACGCGCCGCGGCGCCCCCGCAGGAGCCACAGCAGCGAGGCCGCCCCGGTCATCCTCCCGGCCGCGTCACTGGGCGCGGCGGAGCGGAGGGCGCCGGCCCGGCGCAGACCCCCGGAGCGGCTCAGAGACGACGGCCGCCATCTTGGGAGCGGGCACCGCCCACTCTCAAAATGGCCGCCGCGGGAAGCGGCGCGGCGGCCGGAAGTGAGGCCTGCTTGACCTCGGCTTGCTCCGCGGGGAGGCCGCGGCGGCGACCTGTCCCCTTCGGGTGCCGCCGCGTTTCTGTCGCACCTCGGTTCCCCTGGCGAGGAGCCGAAGGCCTCGGCTCGATTAGTCCTCACAGCAACGACCCTGCGAGGTGGGCTGGGCTGAGCGTGAGCGCCCTCCCGAAGTCGCCCAGGGAGCTTCTTGGTGGGGGGGGGCGGCAGGAGAAGAACCCTTGTGTTATTTTTGCTATTGTTGTCTAAACTTGCATAGTCCTGCGTCTATAATCTAATAACTTAAGGAACAGCCCTCCTCCAAATGCGCAAGCTCTCCAGATGGCTTCATTTGGTTAGAAAAAGCAGGCAGCGATGGTGGGTGGCAGGCTCCGTCTCCCGCTTGCCACCGAATTGGTGTGGAGTACAGCATTCATTCTAGCTCCAAAACTTGCTGGAGTGTCAGATTAGTTTCATTTAGAGAGTCCTCTGGAACTTGTACACAGTTCCAATCCTTGCAATGGTTCCCCAAAAGAAATATTATTAGCAACACATTCATAAGAAAGACACAGGAAGAGAGTGGGGTTCAAGTGGCAGAAAAGCTCAGTTTAAGCTGGATTCACAAGAGATACTTCTTAAGAGTTGCTCAGTAGAGGAAAAAATGGCCGTTGATACTGTTACCTTTACAAGGCTACCTTTAAGTTATTTCAATACTTTATGTACAAATTCTAAAGGCAAAGAAGTTTACTTGAAGGGCAGGTCTGTGATGCTCAGAAACTAGCAGTTTCACTGACAAATCAGCTAAACTGCCTTAAGCAAATTGTTTCTTACTCTGGAGGCAACTTAGCAAGAGCAATAGAGTTGCAAAACCATAACAGAGTTGCAGTGCTCTTTCTTTGGCAGTGGAAGTTTCATAGCAACCATCTTTGTGACAGACACACCCAGAGTTTCTACTGTTCTGAGTAAACTTTCTAAGCAGGATCAGAAACTGCTAAATAACCTTCCAATCACATCCAAGTGCCTGTTTGTATTATTGGCTTAACTGATGGCTATCTTTATCCACATAAAATTCAAAGTGGCTATGCTTGATTAAATGGTGGACAGACAAAGTCTGGGTTGTGATTAACTGAAATGTGATGGTGCCAGAAAGAATGGGAGGGAAGGCATGAGGGACAAAGGGCATTTCTGTGAGCGCAGCCCTGTCTTATTTTCCAATGTTTAAGTTACATGGCGTATGTGAAAAGTGAAAAGCACAAGAGTCCGGCAGGTGGGTGGGACACCTTACATGTCTACAGGAGCACTTGCCTCCTTAACCCCCCTCCCCCTAATAGCTAAATATTAAGGGCAAGAGGACAATGCTAGTCTTTTTTTAAAGATAGAATGTCATATGTCAGTGTGGTCCCAAAGGTCACTGAGCTGTGCTTGTATGTGAAGCATAATAAGGAAGATAAACCTCTAAGCAATGCGTTAGATCCAGATTTAGTCTCACTTAGCACAGACTGTTAAAATCTCACAGGATTGTATCCAATGTTAGTCCTACTGAAAGTAGAGCCATTGAATAGAACTTCAGTTCTGCTCACTTCAGACACAACCCATTCATTTCAGTGGGTCTACTCATTTCAAGTCTGGATCCAGCCCAATGTCTGGTAAGGTGCAATTAAGCCAGATGTCCCAGAAGCCCCTGGATGGGTACTCAGGATGCATTAGCAGAGTTACAAGCCTGACCATCTTGGCTCTGACCAAGTGTAAAGGCAACAGTTCAGAATATACCTGGAGATGTGGCTTATGTCTTTCGTAATTGCTAGCATTGCCATCCATTCTCTGGATGTATGAAATGTCACCTTGAGAAAGGTGACTTCATTCAATTCAATGCCTTTCCACGGCTTTCTTTGGGAACATATCCAATATTCAGACAACACAGATATAGCCTAATTCAGGCTGGCTTTGCTGGGATATTCTCCAGCTATGACATCATGGGAGGATATAAGTGGAGAGAAAGCATGTTGTGAAAGTGATTTTACTGCCACTGGAGGAAGTTGATCAAGAGAAAAAAATAAACAGTTACTACAATGACAAACAATTCCAAGGTGAGTTATGGGGCATAGAGCAGGCCACATAGTACATATGAAAGAAGAGGAGCAGAGTCTTCAGATCCAGTTCTAGAGCCAGAAAAAAATGTCTTGCAACTCTCAGCTTGGCTGCCTGGCTGTGGACCATACCCTTAACTGAAGAGGTCACTTTCTTCAGCTCCTGGTGTATTATACTCTGACAACTAATGGGTTTCAGATCAGACCCAGATAATTCAGATTGTGGAAGTGACCCATTGGTACAACTTTCCCATAGTAAACCATTTTCCCCTCCCCAAAAGGTTTTAGGAGATGATGCGGCTAAGCCAGGAGGCGCTGCAGGATGACAACAAATTCTTGCTCATATAAACACCAGAACGTCATGCAGCCTTCAGGACACTGATACATACGCGGCAAGGAAAGCAGAGACAGCAAACAAGTCCAGTCAGCACAAGGAATGGCGAGTCTGTTGCATCCAAGCGAACCCAGGTAACACAATTTTGTGACCCAAGAACAGTAGCTGAAATAGGAGACCACTGCCCGACCGATGCCTCCTGCTTAGAAAATAGACCTCCAGATGCTCGCTTATCCACAGGAGACTACTGGCCTGTGACAACATATTACAGTGATACATTTGCGCTTTATTCCATTTTGTGCAACTGCAGCGGTGCTTCAGGTGACTGACATGATGGCCAGTTAAAAGCATTTCCCACAGCATCCTACCGCTATCCACAAGTCCCAGCCAGTTCCTCTGCAAACATAAACTAGTTCCTATAAATCTGAGGTCAGCAGTACAGAATTCAATGGCCAGATATTCAAACTGCAACAAAAGAGTTACAGTGAATTCTGAATTTGCAAGATCAGGAAGTGTTCTAAATAGCAAGTTGGCTCCCAGAGGGATTTTGAATGAAACCCCTTTGCCCTTACAGCATTTTGAGATCAGCAGGACTTGCCTTCAAGTAAATATGATAAGATTGGGCTGCATGGCTTCCAGCATCGTATTGTATCAGGTTGTCTGCTTCTAAAGAATGCCAGTCCTGTTTGGCTTGGATTTTTCTCAGGATTTGTAATGATCTCTCCATTATCAAAAGCCATCCCTCCTTTATGTCAGAAATCAATTCATTCTGAAAGAAACTTCCTATCAAATAATTTCTTCAGTCATCAATGCCATCACTTTAAATCCTACCATCTAACTGTTAAAAACCATCTCACACATTATATGCTAATTAGCATATGTAGACGGTAGTAAAGTCCCACAACTCCCAGCTGGGGAATGATGGGAGTTGTAGGACTTCTTTCTTT